TTCACCAAATTTGGCATTAAGATTTGTAGGATCCATGCAGAAATACTTGCAAATTCACGGTTTCACATTTTTTGTTTTGCAGTTTTTGTGAGCATTTTTGGAGTTTTTACAATTACATATAAGGAAAACAACTTTTCGTGTCATAAGATAACCTTTCATTAATCATGAATTTACATAACTTCTGTCCAGAGAATGGGTACTCCAGCTAGTATTAAATATTGTAACTATAATGTATCAACTGGAATTTTATTTACATTGTCAATCCAAAGAATTGAACAGAAGTTTGGTATGTTTCTTTCTTATTGGCAGAGAATGAACTTTTTAAATAACGTGTGCTTTATCACATTGACTTGAAAATATGGTACGGGAATATTCATTTGATATCAGCTACAGACACTGCAGATTTCCCAAGGTGCAAGAAGATGAAAAATGTAAAAATTTCAACATTTTCTGGCCACAGAATTACATCTATTTTAACTACTATCACATACTACCAATACATGTAGATAGTAGCTATATTTATGACAGGTGAAATAAAATATTTTTGTTAATAGTATTTTCGAGTCTCGATCACAATCAGATACTGCCATAACAACTGCTGTCCTTGCTTAGGTCATGCCATTACAAATAAATACTAATGATTTGGTTACCTCATTTTAAACCATAGATTAGGCCTAATGACTGTTACACATATAGATTCCCTAGATAATCCTACATTTTGAAATGTACTCTGGATTTGTACTTCAAATATAGTATTAGACCAATAAGAAAGTCAGGAAGTATTGGAATTTCTATCATGTTTTACAGTATCCCTTCTCTAATAATTTCTCTGTTTGCACTAATTGTATAGTTCAGTATTGATGGCACAAACATAGCCAACAAAATCATATTATGACTGGCATAAATACTACGATAAATGGATAAATTTATTAACTTCTGTGGCTAACTAAAATTAAGATGAATTAGCCAGATGGCTAAGATCTTTTTGACCCTAGCACAAACACATAAAAGGTGTAAGGTTTTTTGGCAAAAACCAAGAGAAGAAAATGTTATATTACAGTTAAGTTACTGAATTTGAAAATATGCTTTTCAATGATACAGGTGTTTCTGGGTCAACAATTAAAATATATCTGACATAATAGTAAAATGCTAAATCTACTTTGCTCATGGGCATAAACCAATCAGTTTGTATACATATAAAGCCAAAACTATTCCCAAAGTTCAACAGATTCTCCCATCCTCATCATAAAGGTATGCTACAACCATAGGTCTGCAAATACAAATTATGTAACTGTTTTTTGTTTGTTTTTTCATTTGTAAAAGATAGCATAGAAACTATGAACTTCTTTATTTTTTTAACTTCAAACTCCAAGTCCAAATAAAGCTGAAAAAAAACATTTTTTCAAGATCTTTCTATTATAATCTTTATCAGTGTGAATGGAAAATGCAAAACTTTTTATATTAACTACTCACTATTGGCTTAACTGATATAATTCAGATTAGTAAACATTTATGTATAATAATTCAAAACCTAAATATTATTGTACAGTATTTTCAAATGTTCCTGGTTCTGAAGAAAATTAAACTTTAACATTATTTTAACTGAATTTTCAATCGCAGGTGTAAGGAGGAACTGAAAATATACTAGTTAACCCAATATAAGATTCTATTCTTCTTTAGTCAATACCAAATAAAATAGCCTGCATATCTAACTTATACCTACCCTAGCCACTTCCTGAGAAGAAGTTAGAGAAAATGGATGCCGAGCCAAGCGATATGCATGATCTTCTAATGACTGAAGTTGTTTCTGAAGGATAGTTTGATGATATTGACATTCTCCAGGGCTGAACCCAATTCCATTCTGTTCCATCTTGGCTAAGCTTAATAGTGATGGCATTTCAACTTCTGTTAAATAACAAAATGCTGATTAAAATATAATAATAACGAATAAACTAGCTCATTAAAAAAAGTAATGCTTTAGCTCATTTGTTTTGTATGACAGTGATAAATTATCATCAGGCTCATGCTTGCATCTGCTAATTTTGCCATTTGTAAAAAAAATCAATTACTATGGAATAAAATTCATTATCAGGCACAAATATTGGTTTCCAAATTTGAAACATTAAGTCTACTGTCACTCAAAACTCATTTACATCCTTACTAAAATATAAAAAGCAGTAAAAGAAACATGGGTAAAAAACAATGTGGGGATTCAAACTACTAATGTATCTATATTTGTGTGTGATTTGTATACTATTTTTCATTGAGTAAAAATGGTGGTTATTTATTAAAAGTTATTCTTTTTATCATCTCTATCCTGCTACAGTATTATCTCACATAATTTGTGCCCTAAAATAAGATGTACCTCAGAATTACATTACTGAAAACAAAAGAAAATCACATAAATTCATTGCATAATAGTGGCAGAAACTCATAGACAAGCATATGCACAACTCACTGACTGAGGTACATGAAATTTGAACCCCTTCCTTTCTGTTATTTCACATGTTGTTCCAGCTCTCAAACTTAATCTCTATCATAACTTCAACACTGTGATTATACTTTTAAAACTTTAAACAACTGAAAATGTTAATGAAAGAAACCCTTGTAAAATTTTCTCAAAACCAGTATGAGAATTGAGTGTAAATCATGGAATCAGAATAAATTTTTCGGTATCATTCCACCTCTAAATAATATCAAACATGGAGTTTTCTCTCTAAACATGTAGCTTGTATTATGTATATATTAATCAAACAGTTTCTATACCTTTAGCAATAACAACTACTCAGAAATATGGTAAATTAACATTATGCATAATGATTTGTTTTTATAAGTTGCTGAAACAATTGTTTTGAATTTACTTGTGGTTCAGTAATTTCTTGTTTGAAAAAACAATTGCTTTTTTCAAACTAGAATGTTAATATTATTCGATTAAGATTTAATGTCTATTCCTAAATGATAAAGCCAAAACAATGATGAACAAAAGCTTCCTTACCACAAAAAGCTTTTAGAAGTTCTTTTTGCTTTAATTCTTCTCGCAACTTCTCCATGAGGTGGAATACAATAACTGCTTCAGCACATGTCCGAAGACGAGGTGACCCTCCATTAGAACTTGTGAGCCCAACACTTCCCACACCAAAAGTCCTTCCAACCACTAAAAACAAAAAATAATAATTCAATTGTTTTTACTATAAAATGAAATATATATAATGATTCCTTATTATACTATTTTCTATCAAACAAAATGAAGGGAGAAATCTAATTATCTATAGAATTAAACAAGCATATACTGATGTTTGATACTCAAGTCAATCTCTCTTAACAAATTATCTAATTCGTTGAAAGCACAGTTATGTTTTTCTTTTGTTATATATATACTAAATGCTTCAAGTTAATAGAATATAAGGTAAAGGGTGTTCTAGAAGACAATGAGACCGAAGAGGACACATGAATGTGTCAAAACTAGTTTCTAAAATATCAAGACTTCTGACAGTTTGTCCCATTTACAGTGGTTTTTTCACTACTTACTATAAACAATATTGTGTTATTTTATTACTTCAGCATAATCAATCCTAATTTTTCTGATCACAGATAAGGTGGTAACCCAGCACTACCCACCACCAAGAAGGCTTTTTTACAGCTATTTGAACCAAGTAATGAGATTTACTGTCACTGCTCTAACACAGCGACATCATGTCTCAAATCTTGGAACCTTCAATCCACAGCTGACCAATAGGACAACACCCAATCCAATATATTGCAAGGAGTATTAAACAAGAATAAACAAATATATCAGTATGAAAAAAAACTTTAAGAATCAAAACAAGAGAACTGGCCATCCAGAATAGATAAATAAAAATGTTAAAGACAAATGAACTAAAAATTATTTTTGATGTGTTTAAAATGCATCCAAAAAAAATTGCAAAACAAATCAAAAGGAAATCTTAATTTTTGACAGAACTAATTTCCTTTCTTTTTTCTCAGAAACTCTAAGACTCCCAGAAAACTAGAAGTGTTTATTTTTATCTTAGTGCATGGTTTTGTTCACACTGACTACTACAAAATATAAAATTTGGTTACTTTACATATTTTTTATTCTATTCGTGTGATCCATTATTTCCACCCAAAGGTAAGTTTCATTTTTGCTTCATGCTTAGATATGTAATTCTGTTGTGGTGTATCAAAAAAGTGAGAAGTATAAGAACTCACTAAAGTAATTGCCATTTCTGTCTCAGTATTTCAACCATAAAGTCATCAGCATCAGATAAAAAGGTTCTCCTTATGATTATTTCTATTATAAATGCTCCACTATCGAGACCAGATGAATCATGAAATAAACTTAAGCATTACCTTCAAGTAGTTTTGCTTCATTTGGAACTCTGTTAATTGCCATATTCAGTAGTGTCTTCTGTCGTGCACCAGGGTCCAGCAACCATTCAGCAACTTTGGGATCTTCCCAGTAAATGTGCTTGTTTGTTAAAATCGATACATCACAGCCATAACATAGGGCATGAAACTGTTGCTTAAGATCAAATGCTGACACATGTTTGCTGTTACTTGTTTTAGTAAAGTTTTCAAGAACTGACTGTATAGCCTGAAGTCGTTCCTGAACAGTAAGATTTGAGTCTACAGGTGGTGGTTTCAGGCTTTCTTCAAAAAGTAAATCTGCTGTAGAAAGTTAGAGGAAATATGTAATTATTTTCAAAACTACATTTTCTCATTTAGTTATAACAGTGTAGTAAGTAAAGAATTATATATCTAAAGTACAAGTTATGTTTCAAACAGCATCACCTTATTTGCCGGTGTATAAGACAATATTTTTTACTCTTAAAGCAATGCTTGATTTTACCTCTTGTCTTATACACAGGTTCAAAGATAGAGTTCCACTAAGAACTCTCCAGTTAATAGCATATTAAACCAAAACTACCTTTTACTTTTATTTGCTTGTTTAAGTAAGTGCATTGATATTGTGCCACCTACTGCATTACAATAACATATTTGTAATTGTGTCATTTGTCTTGATTCTTCATAACTAGAAGTTATGCCTCTCACAAGTTAGTTACAATTAATCAAAACATTTGTGATTTGAAATGTATTGATCTCATCCATCATACTAAAATATTGCTAATATCATATAAAAAAAAATTAGTTTCCGTAACATACACTAATTTTGTAAACATGTTTTTATAATAGAACACTATATCTTAAGGTTTAGTGTTTTTCTGTAATAGAAAAGGAATCCAACTGTGTTTAAAACTTTGTAAAGTTGTTTATTACATGTTTGTGACTTAAGTTATGCTGCATTGAATGGTCTGTAGCATTTGAAAAGCATAAAAAAAAACACATTTGTGGTTGTTTGATTACCCCAAAGTACAGGTTAGCACAGTTTAAAAATAACTTCTAAGAATTTTTTTACAAAAGTAACATCCTAGATTAGCTTGGCAATAGAGGTCGTCAAAGAAATGCACCTCATTTGCTCAAAAAATCCAGGGTCGTCTTATACACCGTCAAATATGGTAACAGGCATTTTTATTAGTCAATTAAAAGAAATCACTTTTAACAGCTGTCACATGTTTTGGATTGCTTTTAATACAAAAAAACGTTAGCACTTTCATCTGTTCCTAGATTTTTTGTCAATTTCTTAAGAGTAAAACTTACAATGACCAGACTTTCCTATAATGCCAGTCTTTGATTTTACACTTTTTCTGTTTTGATGAATTAGTTCTTTTTCTGGCATCTGCAGAAAAAGGTAACCTTTATGTGACCTTCCCTTATTCCAACCAAGGTCAAGATGAATCCACTAAACAAAAACATTTAGACTGTATGCGTCCAATATGTTATGTTTACAGAAATCATCAAAACCATCTATTTCTCTTCCTTTTATCTGAATAACCCCTCAGCACTTTGTCAGCAGTAGCCACTTCACCTTTTGTACTATTGCAATCTATCAGTGGCTTTTTGGCTACTAAACTGTTTCCAAATTTTTAGATAACCTTTGACATTCTCCCAGCTGGCTGCTGTTTGGATGTGTTGTAAACCACTCAATGTCTTTATTTTTTGACAAATACACTTCCAGTTCTTCATCAGTAGCATCATAGCTTTCATGATTAGTTTTGTTGTCATCTAAACTAGTAACATCATCATTTTCATCAATAGATAATTTTTTTTTTCACTTTCACTACTTTATGCCATAGAGTAATTACTACTAGTTCCTAGTCACCTTCACAATTGTCAATAACATTTTTAGCTACTGTACTTTTGTCTAGTGGAACTCGTGTTTCAGAAGCCAAACTGTAATGAATTTCACACTTGAAGTGCCAGCTTTTCATACATGCGAAAAATGATTAATTATGATGCAGTAAAATGACTCGATAACATGTAACAGGTTACTGTATATTACACCATATACAGTAATTTTATGTTGTTACCTGTTACAAGACTCAGTGTAATGAAATGATCAAAAATACAATGCATGAAATAACTTTTTTTAATGTAAAACACATATGTTCCATAAGGACCCTAACAATGAGTGGGGTTAATTACAATATTAATAGAATTTTTGTTTAAAAAAATTGCAGTTTACATCTTATTAGGGACCCGACAATCAATAAAGTCATGGATACATAAGGATTTTGGTAAATAGAGTTTAAAAAAGTATTTACAAATCTGATGAACATCATCAGGAATTCTATGCTTAATTGCTATGAAATGATCGCTCTAAAAAAAAAAACTTTTCATCTGTCAGTAAAGAAGGCAGCTGTAATAAAAATGGTAAAAGTAAGGAACTTTTTATAAAAATTATATTGTACACTTCCATATTTTACTTCTTTTGCTCCTGATGAAGATCATTTTTCATATTTGAAAGTGCTTCAGCCTTTGGGTGTATTTCGAATCAGACAAATATATGTATTTGTAATCTTTTTTTTTAAATTGCAGACAATACTTAAATACGAATTTATACATTATTTACTTAAACTTTAAACATTGTAATATCTGTCAGTTCACATTAACCTTTTGTTGAAATAAAAGTTCAGAGTACAGTGTTTCATGTGAATATAAAGTATAAGTTTTTGTACTTGAATGATTTTCTTACTACATTTTACAGCCCATTTATTGTTTGTTTTTAACCTCAGTGTACATCAGACAAGTGTAATTTCACAGATGTTTAGGTGAACCCAAGATTTTTTTTTGTTAAATAAAATTATGTTTCACTGCAAGGCTGGTGAGAGCATGCTAGGTTTATCTCACTAAATGGACAAAAAATTAAAATACCATCAACTTTTAGTCACTGTAACCTAACAACAAAGTTTAAAAAAGTGGATATAATTTCAGAAATACTGAACCAACTTACAGGTATCCATCTTGGAAACTAATGATATGAAATAAGCATCTTTCTTTTCCCAGCATACTGCCACACCAACTACACAGCTGTCTCTACCACCAATCTCCAGTTCACTAGTACTGACATTAGCTGACACCCTGTTGGCTAGTGTTATAATATGTTAGTGATGTGTTTTTCAGACCAAGACCAAGAACAAATATTAAAAATACATTTAAAAATATTTCAACATTCTGTGTGTATGTATGTACACACACTAAAACAGAGGTCCCCAACTTTCTCATTGCTACAAGCCACACTGTTGACTCACTGACCTACATGACTGCAAGTAGTTCTTGTAGCACATGCACAAATTCACCCAAACATGTGTTAAAAATAACTTGAGCATGTAACATCATAGATGTTGGTTTAGAGCAAAATATGATTTCATTTGTGATTCTATAATAATTTCTTGTTTTACGAGGCTTGCTGTCAAATAACTTGTCTGTTAGCTATGCACTGGAGACCCCTGCACTAAAATATGAAATATGTGGCAATAAAATACTTTAATTTATTATGCAAAGTATCATGAAAAATAAATCTAAAGGTACTATTTCAGAATATTAATGATCAATAATGATAAAATAAGCATTACAAGAACAAACATGATTCAAATGGGCATAAGATAGGATCAAATTAAAATGCCGAAAACGCACAGAAAAAGGGATTTTATTTTAAAACAATCACTTGTCTTAACTCCATAATCAATAGAAATTGTATTCTTATAACTTCCAGCAAACCACCCTTTACATAGGAACAAATGCAACTAAAATGTAAACCATTTATAGACGAAAGAAGAAACATAGCAAATCTAATATCATGAGTGGGATTGAATTATCATGCTGCATTACAGTACTATTACAGACATCCCACTTTCCACATTGGTAATAGTGACAAGTTAGAGAGAATAATATAGTTAATTATATTTGTCATAAGACATCAGTATTAGGCTTATTATATTTTTAGAGTACATTCTGTATTCAGTCCCTAACGAGTTTTCAAGAACAATAGTATAAAATAGGATTTCAACCACACTATATCCATCATGTCAATTGCCAAAATAATATGGTTGAAATACTATTATACACTCTTCTTAAAAAAATACCTAAGAGAGACTAAGTGTATTCAAATGATAGTTGGAAAGTTAAAAATGTGAAGTCATATTTACAGCCACAACAAACAGACCTTAAATTGAAAATTAGTTCTAAAGATACTTGGATTTTACCTTTGGTTACATCAGATCCAATCCCATGAGACTGTGCACGTGCTTTCTTCTGGCAAGCCACACTGAATGAGAATGTTGTTTTGGTACTCCATTCTTTGATAAAAGTGTAGAAAAGGTGTTGGTGTGCTGCTACATCAATAATTGTGAAAGAATCATCTGTACATTGCGTTTCCAATGTCACCGGAGGTAAATGTACTGTTCCCTCACTGAGAAGAACATTAAAATCTTGCAAGGTTTTTGATTTATGCAGCTGGTGACTATTGACTTTAACAGGTGTAGCCATTCCACACCTTTTACTATGTACTTCTGCTACCTTCGGACTAGCACACATAGTTGAAGGTGTTAACTGTGTAGTTTGTTGTCTTGTGAGGCTAGAAACTTTAGGGGGAGTGGGAGAAATGCAGTCACTGGAAAGACTTTCACAGCAGCCTGAACTGTCAGCCTCTTCTTGTTTTCTTTTTTCACCAGTTTTATGACTACTGCAGCAGGTTAATTGCTGAAAACATTTGGAATTAGGTGTTTTGACTCCTGAGGTATTTTGTTGAGAACAGTTATTAGGCAAACAGTTATCAGGTGTTTCAATCATCTTTGTTACTTGCCTTTTGCTGACTTTCTGTTCAAATGAATAAGATTCATTTACTTCTTTAGTTCTTCCTGGAGTTGATGACAAGGAAAAACAGCTTTCCCATCCAGATAATTTTTCTATAGCTGCCACTAGACCAGGACTGACTACAGACTTGGAGTTATCCTTTTCTTGTTCCATTTTATTTTGACTGTAACTAACATTTATTATAGGACTGATTTCACCTACTTTTTTTTGCATATAAGGAGAGTTGAATGGTGAAAAATTTGAACTCATATTTATGGCCTCATCAAACAGATCTTGAATACTAGAATTTAGTTCTAAAGATGAAGGTGGAAATCTATGCAAATTCATGTCACTTTGAGAATTTTTAACTTCTTCAAATTTTACATTCTTGGGATCAACGGTATTTACTTCTTTAGTATTCAGAGTGGTTTTATGCAGATGTCTTGTAGTATCTGCATACTGTGGACTTAATTTGGTTTCTGAAGAACCAGTAACAGTATTTTTGTTGGTGACAGGTGTGGTTAACAGGTGATGGACACCTGTTCTAGTTACTAACTGAATCTCTGAAGAGGTTTCCTGTGAATCATCATCATTAATTGGATGGGGGTGTATGCTGTTCTGTTGAGGAAGCAATTTTGTTGTGAAATGATCAGATTTTTTCAAAGTGCAATGAGGTTCAGAAATTTTTTTGTGTTGAAGACTTGTGATGCTGGTGGATTGAAGAGCTGACGTATTTTTATCGGACAAACCTGTTACTGCTGAATGTTCTTTTGAACAATTTCCCCTTTGAATAGTGATGACTGTATCATCTTTAATGTTTGGATATATGTTGGCATTGCATTTGTTATCCGATGTTGTAAAATTATTGCCTTTTGTGTCTGTTTCCTCATCAAATTCAAAAGTTTTAAAGTCATGTGTATTTTTTAACTTTAAGTGGTCTGTGATCATGTTTATTTTAGAGGATAATCTTTGTTCATTTATTACAGAATTTTCATCATGAAAGTTTTGTGATTCTATAAAAAATGAGTTTTTAAATAAATCCTCACTTTCTGGAATAAGACAGGTATTATCTCCCTGACTGAAAGATCCATTGTGATCAACAAAAATCTTGATCTTAGGTTTCTGAGCTTCAGATTCAGTTTCTACAGGATCTTGGGGTTTCTTCTTTCCACTATTATTAACCTGAATGGCAGAAAGATGTTGGTACATTTTACCATCTAACAGTGCTGCTGTCTGAGTGTCCAATATGCAACTTTCATTAAATGTATAATCGTTAACTAAGTGGTTTGGCTTCTTTTGAGGACTAAAGTTCACTGGTTGGTGTGCTTGAGCTTTGTTATTCCCTTTTTCTGGCACACATTTTCCCATTTTGTTACCAATGCAGTCTAATAGTTTAGTAAAATTATCAATACTCAGCTGAATACATTCTCCGGGTGTGGGCCCATACTCCTCTACTTCCTGCCTAGATTCTTCAAAAGACTCAATTATTGACACATAGTCAATAGCTGATGGATCTTCTATCTGTTTTGGGCTTACTTCTGACTTTTTCTTGCACTGATGTGAAGAGCCTTTCCTTGAACTTCTTCTCCTCCTTGTGTTGCTACTTTTTTTCTTCCTCCAAGAATCTTTAGTTCTATAACTGCTTGTGTTTAATACTCTTTGTTCAGTCCCTGTGACCCATTTTAATAAGCTGTTTTCTTTTTCCTCGCCTAATTTAACATCATTACTTCCCACAGCACAGACATCCTTTGGTGATATATATAAAATACTACTTTTTAATTTTACCCCAGAGTCTTCACAGTTTTCCTCCAAACATTTTACAGCACCAGAAGAAACTATACTTACTCTATTTACTTTTTTTTATTGTCAAATGACAAAAGTCCACTTAGAATTTTCTTTTCATTTATAGATACTCTTCTTGTCACAGAATGTTCACTAGCACTTCCAGAGAGATCTATACACGTGCTATCATAATTAGAATTTTCTATGTGTTCAGTGGGTCTGGCCAAAACACTATCTGGATTAGTATTATTATGAATAGGTCCAGTTGATGTACTACCTGAACAGTGTTCAGATGATGTAACCAGTACATCTTTGGAATGTGTACTTTGTTCAGTATGTTCAGCTAATAAATAACTGTGACTGGAGCTGCTGGGTTGAAAATACTCAAAGGATACATGACTGGAATCAGATTGAGTGTGTTTAGAAGGCAAAGTTAATACATTAGTGGAATTACATTCAGTGTGTTTAGGTAGAACTGTTAATACATTAGAAAGATTAGGTTTCATGTGTTTAATATGCTTATTTGATACATATTTTGGATTAGTCCTACTGTGCTTAACAGATTCATTTAATACATGACTAAAATTATAGTGTGTGTGTTTAGAATGTGTATCTATTATATTAGTGGGGTTCTGCTGAGTTTGTTTAGAATGTTCAGTTAGCATATTAGTGGGGTTCTGCTGAGTTTGTTTAGAAAGTTCAGTTAATGTATTAGTGGGGTTCTGCTGAGTTTGTTTAGAAGGTTCAGTTAATCTGTCAGCAGAGTTCTGCTGAATTTGTTTAGAAAGTTCAGTTAATCTATTAATGGGGTTCTGCTGAGTTTGTTTAGAAGGTTCAGTTAATGTATTAGTGGGGTTCTTGTGAGTTTGTTTAGAAAGTTCAGTTAATGTATTAGTGGGGTTCTGCTGAGTCTGTTTAGAAGGTTCAGTTAATCTATCAGCAGAGTTCTGCTGAGTTTGTTTAGTAAATTCAGTTAATATATTAGTGGGGTTCTGCTGAGTCTGTTTAGAAGGTTCAGTTAATCTATCAGCAGAGTTCTTCTGAGTTTGTTTAGAAAGTTCAGTTAATCTATTAGTGGGGTTCTGCTGAGTCTGTTTAGAAGGTTCAGTTAATCTATCAGCAGAGTTCTGCTGAGTTTGTTTAGAAAATTCAATTAATCTATTAGTGGGGTTCTGCTGAGTTAGTTTAGAAAGTTCAGTTAAGGTATTAGTGGGGTTCTGCTGAGTCTGTTTAGAGGGTTCAGTTAATCTATTAGTGGGGTTCTGCTGAGTCTGTTTAGAGGGTTCAGTTAATCTATCAGCAGAGTTCTGCTGAGTTTGTTTAGAAAGTTCAGTTAACCTATTAGTGGGGTTCTGCTGAGTTTGTTTAGAAAATTCAGTTAATCTATTAGTGGGGTTCTGCTGAGTCTGTTTAGAGGGTTCAGTTAATCTATTAGTGGGGTTCTGCTGAGTCTGTTTAGAGGGTTCAGTTA